TTAATATTTTCATTCCTAAGAATGTTATTTTACAACTAAACACTAATGTAATAACATGTAGTTAAGTGTACCAATGTTTTTGATGTACAAATTCAAGTTGTGAAGTGTTTATCTGTTACATTTTATTTCTTTATTTCTAGCTTTATAGTTTTTAAAAGGAATATTTCAAATAATTTTAGGAAAATATATAAGCGATTTGGAGTGATTGCTGTATTTCATAGGTCATGTCTTAAACTTACCTTAGTTCGACAATTGTTGATTATCATGAAGGAGTGAAAAGTTGCTTTATTCTTATATGGGATTTGTTAGAAGTGTACAACTTTCATTATACTAGAGATTTATTGAGGACCTTCAGGTCTTATGTATATGATGGAATATGATGGATAAATTTAAAAGCTTTATTCAGTTCAACTTGATGAGCTATGTCTACCGATTGAGTGGGAATAAAACTCTTAATCACTTTTACTTGTCCTTCGCTCAACCATGATGGATGGTGTTCTGTTATACAATGATGAACTAGCCAAATAACTGGCTCCACATAAGCAGTTCAATCGATAAATACACATGGATTTGGTGAATTCAGTCAGTCTGTCTTTATTGGCCGTTGTTATTTTGGGGTGGTTGTAGAAGACGGTACTCAGTCTTTCTGAATTAAATGTTTTATATACCGGCTTTCTTTATCTCTGAATCACAATTTCTTCAGTAGCATCATTTAGAAACTGATGGACACAAGTCATCAAGTTGAATTAAGTAAAGCTTTTAAAGTTATCCACCATATTCCATCAAATTTGCTACATGGTTTACAAGTGTGTCTTTTGCATATATATATATATATATATATATATATATATATATATATATATATATATATATATATATATATATATATATATTCTGATATTATGGAACTGAGTTGTATACATTTGATTAAAATGACTATTTTAAAAATGTTATTTAACTGTTTATATTGGAGTGATGATGCTTATAATGCTAAGTCAGTTCTAACCGTTATTCAAAGAAGAACATTGATTATATTTTGAATAGGTATTATTCAATCTCATGGTTATAGAGATAATTACTGCTATGTTTAAAGTGATTACGAGTTCACCTAATCTGAGAACGAAACGAAGACTCTGTGACACCATAACAGATAAGCTAGCTATTCTAACGCGTCCCAGCCCCGTTAACTAGAGAGAGAGAGAAGTCCAAGTTCGGGAAAGAGAAATATGTTCCACAAGCAGCCAGAATCACGAGCAATCACAACAGGCACAAATCAAACGTATATATGTACAGCATAAAGTTATCCTTGGGAGGCGTTGCAAAATAGCATACTAAAAGATACAACGAACTAATAGCGTTTAAGATCCTCCCAAATAGGAAATACAACATGAAGGTAAAAATGAGCGATTTTAGCCCGAAAACAAGAAATTCAAATTTTTAAAATAAAATTACAAAACTAAGGTATTTACCAAGTGAGTTCTGGGGATCATACATACCCAACAATTACGTTCCAAGTTATTAGATCAATAATGATCTCAATTACATCATTTGAACATTTTAAAACCAGAAAATGATTAAGTGAGGTAAGATTTTAAGTAGAACTACAAAGAACTCTTCAAGTGTTAGATATTTCTCTCTCTCCCTCTCTTTATGTCTGGGTTTTACTCGTTTGTTTGTTTTTTTCCTACTGAAGGTTGTATGATGTAATTAGAAGTATCCTCAAGACTATCTAAAAAAGAAAATGCTTATTCGCCTATGCTTAGCTATTGGTGTGATAACTATTAGGATATAAATAAATCTAACATAAAATTAGTGTCTATGGAAAAATCACTAAACCGTAAACGAAATGTTCCATATTGAAATTTTACACTTATCAGTGATGTTTAAAAGTTTAAAGAGCTATTCACAATGTAACTATTCAGTCATGCATTAAAAAATGGATAGATACCTAGTGGTGATATTAAATATTGATTTTGCAATACTGACAAATTAGTTTCAGTATACGATTATGGAGATTATTAGATTTTTGATTAAGATCATGAATCGATTGATGTTAGACCACCATTGAAAACCTGGAGGCAGTGGACGGCCGTTTCGTTCTGTTGTGGGACTCCTCAGTAGTGCGTATCCACGATCCCACCCCGCTTTTGTACTATTGAACAACTTACTCAAATCAAAAGCTTTCTTTTTCGAGACTTTACTGGCGTTTTAATTGACAATCAAAATTAAATATCGAAGTTAGACATTAAAACCGTTGAATGCCGACTCAGTGGTCTAGAGGTTAAGCATTCACGCGCGAGATTGAAGGCTTCCAGGTTTTCAATGAAGGTCTAGCATCAATCGACTCATGACCTCAAACAAAAATGAATTTCAATCGAAGAGTTACGTCATCAGTTGTTTATCAAACGACTAAATAACTGAACCGTAACCGCGAAAAAATGAATATCCTCTTTTAGATCATACATGTAACACAGGGAATCCCATTTTGAGATGAAACTATTGTTTATTTTTGCTTAGTCTGTAGCAGTTTTAAGATTAATCTCAGTTTTTAGTTAAAAATCCCTTCCAATCAACCAAACTATTGCAAATCATTTGATAACATATACGTTTCATTGCCGATAGACAGTAATGTATAAAAGCCATTATCTAAAACTATGAACAATACAAATATATATGAACATATATGGATCATATTGTAATCAAACATTGTTGAAATAGACCATATTTAGGATTTTTATTCAGCATGTGAATTCACTTTGAATAGTTTGTTTTTTTTTCCAATCGATCAGTCAGTAATTCAGTAAAATATGAACAAATATACATCTGTTCATGTTATCAAGATTTACATCAACACAGTGGGGAAGAAAATTAACAGGATAAAAATCAAACGAATATCCATAGGTGAAAACTAAACATAAAGAATATCTAGAATTATTGAGCCGATTTTGTTAGATTGAGCTAGTCAGACTCGTAAATGTGATTTCAATGTCATGGTGCATCAGTAAAAAAAAGTATATGGTTATTACTTGTCAGAATCTTATCATCACTATATGGTTGTGGAGATTATTAAGTTATTGATTAAGATCTTGAACCGATTGATGCTAAACCACCATTCAAAACCTAGAAGCTTTGGACGGCCGTCTCGTCCTATTGTGGGACTCCTCAGTAGAGCACATCCACGATCCCACTCGCGGGATTCGGACCCAGAGCCTTTAGCCTCGCGCGTGAACGCTTAACCTCTAGACCACTGAGTCGGCATCCAACGGTGTAGAGACAGGTATCTACCTCAATACAATGGAGGAAGGTGGCGCAATTTAGTGGATTGGTTTGAGGATAGACATTAACACCGTTGGTTGTTGGCCGGCTCAGTGGTCTAGAGGTTGAGCGTTCGAGGGCGAGACCGAAGGACCTGGGTTTGAGTCCCACGGGCGGGATCATTAATGCGCTCCGCTGAGGAGTTCCACAATAGGACGAAGCGGCCATCTAGTGCTTCCTGGTTTTCAATGGTGGTTATCATCAATTAGTTTTTGGATCTCAACCACGAATCTGATCAGTTTCACTGCTGATATCGAAATTAAATCTCATCATGAAATGATTGCTCACAGATTTCATTGCGTATAACCTATATGGGACGATCATAGTAACTGAATTCAAATATACTCACGTAATGGTTTCCAGGAGAGAATGATTTGAAATCGTACAAATCAGTTCTTATACAGAAAACAATTACATTTCATAATACGAGAATTCACAATGAACCATAAAAGCTTTATTTATCTCATAAAAGTGTATATAATACTTAACTTTATTCCTTATCAACTCGACCTGTTTTTAACTGAGTAGTAATGAGGCTAGAATTTCTCTGTGTTATCATAACAATCATTTGTGTTTGTGTTTATCAATTAAGTTTAACTTACAGTTTAACAGAGACAAATGTAATTGAGGAATCGAATGTATAGACTAAAATTAAAATTCAATATTTGTGGGAACATACGGAATTAATACATCTGTGCTACTATCACTACTTATGAGCCATGTTATCCAGTCTCTGATCAAAGATTATTTATGAATAACTCGAGATTCTTTATCAAGTTCACACCTACAACTATAACACAGTCCTTACCATGAAATATCATTATTCATACTTGCCTTTTTGTCGATGAGGAATTTTATAATTGTGGCTGTGGTGAAGGGTATCTATTCATTAAACAACTTCAGTTATTATAAGCAAAGATGGATCGCGGTTAGCAGTGGAATTCAGGACGAACGTTTCGTCCTATTCGAGACTCATCACGGGGTGTACATGCATCCCAAAGTTGATGTCCACTCCGGGACTCCAACCCAGTACCATTTTCTTCAAACGCTATCGTGTTATCCTTAGTAATTAAGTCCTGATAAGCACTAGAGACTAATCAATTTCAGTTCTAAACATCAATGAGAACATTCACGCAGACAATACAAAATGGATTAAGGCTTCGCCCCATCGCACAAGCTAGTACTTAAAGCAAACGACACTGGGTTCGAGTCTCGGAGTGGACCTCAACGTTGGAATGCAGGTACATCCAGCTGACTAGCCGCAATTGGGACGAAACATACATCCTAGATTTCACTGCTAACCACCATCTATCTTTGTAACTCAAGGTAATATCGAGATAATCCACTCAGTATGCACATGTGCCAATAAGTGACTGATCAATTCCAGTCCTAAACATCAATGGAAAGATTTAAACAAACAATACAAAATGAATTAAAACTTTAGTTGGTAAAAATGGAATTGGATTCTTCAGGATAGCCAGTTACCATTTTCACATTTTTATTTATTCATGTTTCCAGTATATACTACTTTTTTTCTTATTAAGTACTATAATTACGCAGTATCATTTTTTTTCATGTTTTACTTTATTAGGTGATATGAAGATCAATCACTAAATTTACTAGTACTAATTATCATCAATATATCTCTCATGAAAATAATGCAAATTACCTGAAATATTCAACTTATGGTAAGTAAATGAATAGTTTATTTTATTAGATTTGAGTAGATTCAGTTTAAATGTTTCATGCCAGATATATAACTGTTAAATCACTGTAACTGAACTGATGGACAGCGCCAAGAATGAACACTATATATATATCTGCCAACCAGTCAGCGAGAATTAAGAAACTATTCAATGATAATAGTCATAGTCTAATATTTTTATCTAAGATCACTTTTAACTGATTATTTAGTGCATAGTGGCTACCAGTGGAATCCAGGACACGCGTTTTGTCCTATTTGGGACTCGTCAGCTGGATGTATCCGTATCACAGGGTTGATGTTTTCTCCGGGACTTTGAACCCAGTACCTTTCGCTTCAAACGCTATCGCATTGGGAAGATACAAGTAAAACAACATCAAGTGAATTAAAACTTTACCACATTGCAAAAAGCAGGTGGCTATCAGGACTCATTAGCTAAGTGAATAACATGATGGTGTTTGAAACGAACGGTACTGGGTTCGAGTCCCGGAGTAAACATCAACTCGGGTGTAGGTACATCCAGACGACGAGTTCGAAATAGGATAAAACGCGTGTCCTGGATTCCACTGCTAGCCATTATCCATCTTTGCTTAGAAATCTTGTGACTTAAGGCTGTATTGAGGCAATCCGCATAGGGTGCACATATGTTAACATGAGACTGATCAAATGCAGTCCTAAATAACAATGAGAAGATACATGTAAAACAACACCAAGTGAATTTGATTATTTGTTGTGTTTCAGTAAAAAATATTTTGGTGGAGTTTTGTTCTCTGAGCTGAAGTTTGTGCTGATGTCGTTCAGAAGAACGATGAAAGCTGAACAACCAAACCATCTAGCTCATAGAAAAAAGCTCCACCAAAATCATCCACTTGTGCTACGAATCTTCTCCACCATCTCGAAATCATATAAGCGTAGTAAGATTACCGTTGTTCGAAAATGGGAGAATTCCATCAAAAGTCAGGCTTCCCTTCGAGAACAACTGTATTTTCTCCACGAGTGTCTTTGTCAGCATGGTCTACCAACAAGTGTAAGATACAGACCTCCAATCAACTGGCCATTGGGATGGAGAATAGCCGAGCAAAGTGGAAGAAAAAATATATTTGTTAAGATGGTTTACCAAACATTAAACGGTTTTAAATTACACCAACTTAAATATAATTAAAAGCAGGGTCGAACCTGTTACCTTCAAACTTCATAACGAGTATGATATCAATGAATGCAACTTAATCCAGGATTACAAAATCACACAGTTGAGGAATCTTAAACACATTTGAAAGTGTTGATTATTGCTTGCCAGTAGTATCCTAAAACTAGACTGATCAAAATAAGTCACTACTCTAGAAATAGATTTTAATATCGATAAATTGATGTGACGATGGACCACCGGTGAACTCGAGGAAGCTGTAAGAGGCTCATAAGGAGCCGAAGACGTTCCATCCAATCACCTGTCGGAAGAATGTTCTAGAATTCCAACGTGTAGCTTCCCCATTGGATAATGCTAATAACCCCTGTACGCGGATTGGAAGATTGTAATGATGATTTCGTTCCCACTAAAAACTATAAATACCTGATAATTTTGTACTATGTTTGACACTGTTTGGAATAATATTCCTTTCGTTAGTCTTCTGTCTTCTTATTGCGACTTGGAAGGGTTTGGTGTTCCAGTGCTCAGTTATACGCGGTTGTATCAAGAAAATCAGCTTTTTCAAGATATAACATCTGGCGACGGGTTATTGTATCAATATGTCATTTACCTTGGAACAATTTGAAGCCTTATTGGAACGTCAAGAAAAGTTCCAGATGCGCATGCTAGAGATGCTAACTCAGAAAATGAACCTGGATCAAAAAGAAGTTACAGATGATCCCTTCAAATCTCATGTTGACCAGATTGTTAATTCTATCCATGAATTTAATTTTGATGGTTCAGCTGGCATTACTTTTGAAACTTGGTTCAAGAAATATGAAGATTTGTTCAAGGTCGACCTCAAAAAACTTGATGACGCCGCTAAGGTCAGAATACTCTTGCGAAAACTTGGAACTGTTGAACATGAACGTTACAGTAACTTTATCCTTCCAAAGAATCCAAGAGATTTTTCTTTCGATGCAACGATTGAAATTTTGTCGCAAATCTTTGCTGAACAGTCATCCTTGTTTAATATTCGTTATCAATGTCTCAAGATGACAAAAGCAGGTGATGATGACTGGGTGAAGCATGCGGGTCTAGTAAACCGTGAATGTGAGCGCTTCAAACTATCAGCAATGACAGAAGACCAGTTTAAGTGTCTCGTATTTGTGTGCAGCCTCCAATCTCCCGAAGATGCCGATATTAGAACTAGAATTTTGAGTAAAATTGAACAATGTCCGAATATGACACTACAAGAAGTAACCGCAGAGTGCCAGAGATTGGTAAACCTAAAGCATGACACTTCGATGGTCGAAAATAATGGCCAGTTGCCATACGTTCGTGCTGTAAGCGGAAAGAACGATTCTCGCTCAAGAAAGGTATCGCACACAGATAATCAGCCTTCATCTCCATGTTGGTCTTGCGGTGGTTGGCATTATAAAAGGTTCTGCCCATATAAAGAACATTGTTGTAGCAAGTGTCATCGCAAGGGACATAAAGAAAACTGCTGCAGAAAAAGAACCCATAAACGACATTCTTTGAAACCCTACTCGAAGAAATACAGATTTAGTGCTCGAACTAACAAAATATTGGTATCACATAATCGAGCACGATTTTGCCGCCAAAGAAAGTATGTAACTTGGATATAAATAAAAAGCGTGCCCGCCTGCAACTCGACACCGCTTCTGACATCACACTTATTAGTCGGAGAACTTGGAATCTTATCGGTAAACCACAGGTGCTCCCAACGACCCAGTTAGCTCACAGCGCATCTGGAGGAAAACTAAATATTGTTGGAGAGGTTTGTTGTACAGTCTCGAAAGGAAATGCGAAAACGAATGCAACTTTATATCTTACACAGAATCCAGGACTAGATTTGCTAGGTCTAGACTTGATAGAAGCACTTCAATTAGCAAATCACCCCATTAACCACATATGCAGCGCAGTGAGAACCAGTAAACCGGTGGAAAAGGATCTGAAGAGTGTTGTATTGGAAAGACACAGTCAAGTGTTTATGGAAGAGTTGGGGGAATGCAAAAAGGTTAAAGCACTATTGATTCTTAAACCGGGAGTCACCCCCGTCTTCAGACCAAAACGTCCGGTACCTTATGCAGCGCTACCTATTGTTGAACAAGAATTAGAGCGTCTGCAAAGAAGTGGAATAATCGAACCAGTAAACTTCTCTGATTGGGCAGCTCCAATAGTGATTGTTAAAAAGCCTAATGGAAGTATCCGGTTATGTGCAGATTATTCAACTGGATTAAATGAAGCGCTTGAAGCCCATCAATACCCATTGCCGGTACCAGAGGATTTATTTGCGAAACTGAATGGGGGTAAGTATTTTGCGAAATTAGACCTATCAGACGCTTATCTACAGATTCCGGTAGCGGATGAGTGTAAGCATTACTTGACAATAAACACTCACAAGGGATTGTTCCGATATAACCGACTTCCTTTTGGAGTAAAGACCGCCCCTTCAATCTTCCAACAAGTTATGGACACTATGTTACAAGACATTCCTGGTACCGCGGCTTATCTCGATGATATATTGATCATGGGTACAGACTATGCTGATTTAGAGAATAAGGTGGATACGGTTCTCAGACGCATAGCAGATTATGGATTCAGGCTGCGTGCCGAAAAATGTGATTTTTACATGGAGCAAGTCCGGTATTTGGGATTCATAATTGATAAAAACGGGAGAAAACCTGATCCTGAAAATGTCGAAGCCATTAAGTCCATGCCTCCACCCACGGATGTGTCAACTTTACGTTCTTTCCTGGGAATGGTTAGTCATTATGGAGTTTTTCTGCCAGATCTGCATCGCCATCGTGCTCCTCTTAATTGCTTATTGAAAAAGGATACTAAATGGTTCTGGTCAACTGAATGTCAAGAAGCATTCCTAAAACTGAAGCAGCTTCTGTCATCGAACCTTCTCCTTACACACTATGATCCCGATCTTCCAATTATAGTCGCAGCCGATGCGTCGAACTACGGAATTGGAGCAGTAATTTCACATGCCTACCCTGACGGTTCTGAGAAAGCAATCGCTCACGCTGCGAGATCACTGACTATGACTGAAAGAAACTACAGTCAAATAGAGAAGGAAGCCCTCGCGATTATATTTGCTGTAAAAAAGTTCCACAAGATGTTGTTTGGTAGGCAGTTCACCTTACTTACAGACCATAAACCTTTACTGACAGTTTTTGGATCTAAAAAAGGCATCCCGGTATATACAGCAAACCGGCTACAGAGATGGGCTACCACACTGCTGGGTTATGATTTTAAGATAAAGTATCAACCAACAACGGATTTCGGACAGGCAGATGCACTCTCAAGATTGATTGGTCTGCATGAAAAACAAGAAGAAGAGGTGCTTGTAGCTGCTATAGATGTCGAGGCCGAGGTTCACAAAATATTGTCAGACGCAGTTTCCGGACTCCCGGTCACATTTGAAGCCATTAAAGAGGCCAGCAAGAAGGATAATGTATTAAAGATTGTTCGCCATTGCATACTCAATAAATGGCCTTCATCTAGATTACACGGAGAACTCTTACAATACTTTCGTCGACGAGAGTCATTAACAGTTGTCGATTCATGTATAATGTTTGGCCATCGTATCGTTATCCCCAGAAATCTTCGACACCAAGCCATTAAACAGTTCCACAGCGGGCATCCAGGGATAAGTAAAATGAAGTCACTAGCTCGTAGCTATGCTTACTGGCCGTCAATGGACCATGAGATAGAGCAAAAATGTCGCAGCTGTTGGTCTTGTCAAGAGGCTGCAAAGAACCCAACGAGAGCTGAGCCACAACCATGGCCTAAACCGGACGGGCCTTGGCAAAGAATACATGCTGATTTCGCCGGACCGATACAAGGCAGGAATTACTTAGTTGTTGTAGATGCTTTCACAAAATGGCCGGAAGTTTATGACATGCCGAATACGACTTCAGAGAGTACCATAAGAAGATTGTCAGGATTGTTTGCCTGTTTTGGGGTTCCAGAGATCTTAGTGACCGACAATGGTACTCAGTTCATGTCATCCGCCTTCAAACGCTTCTGCAACGAGAATGGCATATTGCATCTACAATCTCCTCCATACCATCCTCAGTCGAATGGCCAGGCAGAAAGATTCGTGGATACAATTAAAAGAGCTCTGGTCAAAGGGGGAGGTGAGGGTGTCCCGGAACAAGTGATTAATAAGTTCTTGATGTCTTACAGAGTTACCCCTAATCCGGCAGTACCAGAAGGAAAGTCTCCGGCCGAGTGTATGTTCGGAAGAAAAATCCGGACAGTTTTTAACAGTATGTTGCCGCCCAGAAAGACAAATAAACCCACGAATGAAAATCGTAAGGTCAATCGTAGCTTCCAGGTGGGTGAGAAGGTACTTGTCAGATCGTACCAAGGTAATAAGAAGTGGGAACCAGGTGTCATAGAACGTCGAATCGGAAATGTGTTGTACCTAGTCCGGAAAGATGTCGGGAAATGCATAAGACATATAAATCAAATGCAAAGAAATGATAGTACAGTGGTCACAGAAAACCGGCTTCCATTTCAATTGCTCGTAGATTCATCCCCGAAGAACCATCATGAGCGCAAATATCGAAAAGACAAACGACGCAGAGAGAAAGCTGTACAACCCTCGAGAGTAATGGAGCGCAAGAGGAATGCGACACCCAAGCTTCAGGTGGATCCAAGAAAAAAATCTTACACAACGGACTTTAAAGGGGGGAGGTGTGACGACGGACCACCGGTGAACTCGAGGAAGCTGTAAGAGGCTCATAAGGAGCCGAAGACGTTCCATCCAATCACCTGTCGGAAGAATGTTCTAGAATTCCAACGTGTAGCTTCCCCATTGGATAATGCTAATAACCCCTGTACGCGGATTGGAAGATTGTAATGATGATTTCGTTCCCACTAAAAACTATAAATACCTGATAATTTTGTACTATGTTTGACACTGTTTGGAATAATATTCCTTTCGTTAGTCTTCTGTCTTCTTATTGCGACTTGGAAGGGTTTGGTGTTCCAGTGCTCAGTTATACGCGGTTGTATCAAGAAAATCAGCTTTTTCAAGATATAACAATTGATAATTAATTTAATATTATGAACTCGATTTAGGTAGATTTGTATAGTTAGATGGTGGTTGCAGATGGTCAATAGGAAACTCTGAACCCGAGTTTCATGTTACTCGGTCACATTGCAACTTGGTCGATAGGATTCAATCTGCACTAAGAAGAACTTGACACACGTGACATTGATCACCACCCAGTGATCAATCAATTGTAAGATTTCCATAGTACTGTAATGAACAAGAACACATAAATGGGGAAAACGGAATGTATTTGAATATAAAATTACAGAATCATTTCATAAAATCTGAGAATCATACAATAAATAGTTCATATACAAAATGTCAATCCATTGTTCTTTGGTTTCCACATTAATCATTCATTATTCTCGTTCTCTTTTATTTAATCATCTTAACCTTCTACGATCAAGTAGTTTACTTTCGATTGATGATACATGCTACTTATATCTATCGACATTAGTAGCACATACTACAATACCTTTGAAATTAATGCTTATATACATATATGACACATATATAATGTTATACAACTACTACTCTGGTACAAATAACAATCTGTTAACAACCTTTACACCTATAAAAGTGACTTATATACAATTGTTATCTGTGAACCATTATTGTTTTTGTCAATTAATTAGGTTAGAACATTGAATGCGTAAATCCATATCATCTATCTATGTATATCTATATATATTTTTTCTAAACATTTCTTAGTACTATGCCTTGAATTGAATAAAATTTTTACACTTTCTAAATAGTTATCTTTATATGAATTCCATTGAAAAATCATCAAAATATAAAATTTTTATAATCTATGATGAATCAATTAGTTAAATAGTTTCTCAAATGGAGGCACAATGGAATTGACAACAGCAACAACAACAACAACAACAAAACATAACCCAATAAAATCAATAATTTTTTTAATCTTAACAATACTTGAACAAGTCACATTATTATCATTACCATTATTATTATTATTATTACTATTATTATTATTATTATTATTATTAGTAGTAGTAGTAGTAGTAGTAGTAGTAGTAGTGGTATTGATTTAAGGTGGCTTGACCAATGTACATGAGATAGATGAGTTAATACTGATCACAGTACATATTGATAAAGTATGTTTCTGAGTGAAACTCCACTTTTTATTCTTATATATATATATACCATATATACCATATATATATATATATCACTGTTGATATATCGATTAGTACTATTAGTCTAGGTCATCAAATGTTGTCCAAAGTTTTTGATGAGTATTTAATTCATTCTATAATGAACTGATTAAATATTCACTAAGTGATTAGATATATCTACTTAATAAGAATAAGAGTAATATTATCAATATTGAAATGTTTCATTCTAATAATTCCAATAATTTATCATTATATCATTTATCATTAATGGTAAATTGATTATGTTGATATATCTAATAAAAGAATTGATCTATTCAAATGATATGAGATCATTTATTGGATCTTTCGTGTTTTTTTTTTCTTGTAAACATTTCATTTTAGACTTCATCTTCTATCATTTGTGAATCATTCAATTCAGATATTCAATATTCTGAATTGACTCCAATTGATTTAAATACTACGAATACAATTACAACATCATCTAATATCATAGATCCTATTACTACTACTACTACTATTATTATTACTCCTCCTCCTCCTGCTACTAATACTACTACTACTGCTACTGTTACAAATGATATAGAAAGTAGTATAATTCATGAAAATAACAATTTACCTGTACGTTGTAAATCATTAGAAATAAAATCAACAGAAAAATCTTTAATAAATTCTACTTCAAAGAAACGTCATCGAAGTACTGTTGAAAATCAATGGAATCATTCAAATTCAATGAATACTTTAACAAATTTAAAATATTATCATACAAAAATAATTTATGTTTATCATTGAATGGTGAACAAAAACATCAAGAAGAATGTATTATAGATGTAAAGAAACGAAGAACTGTGGATGATAATGTAAGTAGTTCTTATTTTCTGATTAAAATTAATATTGAATTGGTTGAAGTTAAATATTAACACTGTTGAATGCCGACCAGTTCAGTGGTCTAGTAGTTAAGCGCTTATGTGTGAGACTGATAGGTCCTAGGTTCGAATCTTGTGAGGCTGGATCGTGGATGCGCGTTGCTGAGGCGTCCTATAGTAGGACGAAACGGCTGTCCAGTGCTTCTAGGCTTTCCATGGTGTGGTCTAACTTCAATTGACTCATGAATTCAACAATTAACTATTACTATTATTATTATGGTGTACAAAGTTGATTATAATCAATAATATTGTAGATCAGAAAAATTAATTTTCTAATGTAGAAAAGATGTAAATAAATTAGAACATCTCAATAGTGGTACAATCATAGATTTGTTTTTATCAGATTCTACTTATAAAAGCTTAATAGAGATATATTAGTTTTTAATAAGTAGGCTATTTGATCTAACTCTGATCAAAACAACCATATATATGTACACAAATGGTGTTTAGAATCTAATGGACAACTGAATTTTCATAGAATTCGAGTTATTAACAGTGAAAGAAATCAATTAATAAATTGTATTTAGTTTTATCTTAATCATTTGATATAATTTAGCTGGATCTTGTTGAGAGACTAATGTCACCTAGTTCAGTTAGTTGAATAGTTTTCATTCGGATGATAGTTTTTGGTCAAACACTGTAGAGCCAATGAAATGTCACTGAGCCCTAGTCAAATCATCATGCAGTTGGGTCACTGAATATCGAACAGTTTACCGATCATCCCCGTTTAGGTCAGGGACAACCAACGCGCATCAGTTAATTGTACGTCACGGACTGGCCCATGCGGTGGTGATCACGCTTTCGCCTGTACCTAATTTAAATAATATACTTCTATGGTTAAGATCATGAGTCAGTTGAAGCTAGACCACCATGGATTAGTTGAAGTTGGACATTAACACCATCCGGCGCCCGCTCAGTGGTCTAGTGGTTAGGTGTTCGATCGCGAAACCAGTAGGGTCCTGGGTTCGAACCCCGCAGGAGACGAGGTCATGGATGCGCACTGCTGAGTTCCACAATAGGACGGAACGGTCGTCCAGTACTCCCGGGTTTTCCATGATGGTTTAGCTTCAACTGACTGATGATCTTGACCATTGGGATTACTATAGTGTCCACAAAACCCATCTGATATTAATATATTTCTGTAATAACTTCCTTTGTATTGTATGGTCTTGAAAGTATCCATATTACCTTGGTATGATGAAGGGATAATCCACATTGGCTGCTGACCACGAAGTGTGACTTTGACGTCAGCTGTTGGTCACACCATTCTCGTCTAACTCGAGTAGGCCCTTTGGTGATCTACAATACGTTGTCACGTTACTTCAATTGAAATATGCTTGAAACTTTGCGATTGATTTTCAATAAAATCATGTGGATACTTACTTCAGTTATCTCGCAAAAATGCATTCAAGAAGTATTCTTCAAAGTAGATTAGTTAAATCTGATATTTTTCTCTTGAGGCTAAATAATTATAACTGAAATATATCTTTTTGTAATGTTTACCATCGTTTCTTGTTATCTTTTACGAAAGATACATTTGTTGATATCATTCAGATGATTTAAAAAAAAATCGAATCCTTAATTTATTCCGCGAGTGAACATCAATTCTAGGATTCAGACACATTCAGCTAACGAGTCCCAAGTAGGACAAAACATTCGTCCTTGATTCTCTTGCTAGCCGCCATTCATCCCTAAACATTCTTAGTTGTTTACAGACAAAGATAGTCTATATGAAATGATATCTGGAAATATATTTGATAATCAAATTGAACAGTTGTATAAATAGTAAACTGATGTAATGATCTCGTGAAAACTTTAATCTATTCTAATACTTTTGTTTATTTAACCTCACTGTCATCATGTCTAACAGAAGTTTATTATCAGTATTATTATCATCCTGTAAAAATAAGTATATATATATTTGCGATTGTACAGCTTTGAAAATGAATTCGCCGAAAAGAGAACTCTTCGCTGAACTAATCTTTCTAATTTAGATCGCATATCTCTATCAGTTGACTTACTCATGTAAATATGTGAAGAACTATACTTCCATTGCCAATACCAATGTATTATATTGAGAAGTAAAGATGGTTGATTATAGGAAACCTTTCCAAAAGATAATATATTATTAATTTCACTCTGAGTATGTCTTTTTTTATGAACATCACTTGTGTGGAGAAAAAGATGACCATTTTAATAACTTTGGAGAATTAATCACAAGGACCAGATAGCTATGTCTTTTAGTTCCCTTATATATATATGAAGAACGCTGTTATTTCCACTATAATTTTTACCCTAAATATTGATAATACGATTTGATTAAAGGAAGCCAAGTATGACATTGGGGTTTCACACTAGTTGGTATTTAGCAGAAAAGTATATCTACAATCTTGAGGAAATAGATGTTTCATATCAGTCCCAAATTCGTGTCAACAAACACCGTTGACACTTCATGTGGTAACCAAACTCTTATAGGATTGAGGTGTATACTCACTTATTGATCATTTGGTAGTACAAAGTAAAAGTATATTTTCTAGTCGAAATTCTGAATTCTAACTCCAAAATCTACCCCTAACTATTCTTTTTTGAGTTTTTATTCAATAAATTATTGGTACATATCATCTGCACTCTAATTAACTAAAGCTTAACTTCACCTTTTCAAGGTCGTCAGTGAAGTACCATTTCATCATAGTAAACAATGTCATGTTGCTTACTTCTTAATGTTGATTGAATCCTAGCGATCAGTTTAGCAATGCTGATCGCTTAATCTAGTAGCTATATTGCAACTTAATAGATAGAATTTAACCAGTACTAAAGAATACGACATTTGTTATTACTTAGTGACGACCTTAGAGCGACGCTAAACTGACCGTGAGAGTGTTCACCTAATAACTGGGACCAAATGAGGGTTATAAACCAATGCGAGGAATAAGAATTATGATTTAAAATTGACGGCTAGGCTTTGGAATGAGATTTAGAGTTTTCATCAGGAACTGACATCAGCTATAATGCCAAACTCTAGTTGACCAAATGGATGAGTGAATTTCGTGACAAAAACCGAGACCTGTTATCTTATACCTGATTATAGTCTCACCCTGTAAATCATGTAATGTCAAATCAGAATCAATGAAATGATCAGTAAAATTATTGATTGGTATTCTGGTTCTACTTTTCTTTTCATTCATTTTTTCTCTTCGTAATTATTAGATGCTTCAAGTTGGTTCAATGATTCCTGAACCATCAGCAGTTTATAATTATACTACTAATAAAACATATGAATATGATGAATTAATTCATGATTATCCAAAATTTAAATCTTTTAATCAACAAGTAAATATGAATAGAACGTATTCACATTGGATGAATTCATATGAACAGTTTGAAAATAATAAAGAAGAACTGACAAATGAACTATCTACAAATCGTATACAATTAAAACAATCGATTAAAAAAGGCTCCACACGTGAGAATATACCAAAAACATTGACGAATAATGGTAATTGGAACACTTTCAATGATACAATGAATGTTAATCATCATAAAGATGAAATAGATAATGAATTATCATCTGCATCGGAGCTTACAACTGCTGCGTATAATGTTAGTTAATGAATTCATTAATGAAGATTGTTTTATTATATAATTTGAAAAGGATTTTTATTATTGACTGACATAGTATTGGGTTCACTGTGTGATCTTGAAAATCTTGAGGGTTGAGTTCGTGTTTGAAGTACGCAAGTGTCTCGTAGTTAATAGATCTCAAACATGGATAAAATGGATATGTTCAATTTTTGATTAAGATCATGAACCGATTGATGTTAAACCACCATTTAAAGCCTGGAAGCACTGGACGGCCGTTTCGTCCTATCGTAGGACTCTTCGGCAGTGTATATCCGCGACCTCACTGGCGGGATTCGAACCCAGGACTTCCAGTGTCGTGAGCGGTATCTTGCACACACACTGCTGAAGAGTCCCACGAGAGGATGAAACAGCCGTCCAGTGCTTCCAGGTTTTCCATGGTGATCTAGCTTTAATCAGTTCATGATCTCAATCAAAAACTTAATAATCTCCACAACCCCATACAGATATGTTCAAGTCTGATTTTTAATAATTTGAAGTTGAAATTAATTAATTTCAAGTGATGTGCTTAAAATTTAAATTTCATGTTTCTATCATTGTCTTTCAAATATCGGTATTCTACGAAAGAAATCAGGACTTGTCATAATGTTGATGGAGTTTTGTTCTCTGAGCTGGATGGTTTGGTCGTGGAGTTTTTATCGTTCTTGTGAACGATATCATCAGCACAAGACTTCTACTTGTCACAATGATTCTAAAAAATATGTTGATCCTTGAAGAACAGAAATCATCGGTTTTTTCAGTTAATGCACTTACTTTAATAGTTGGATTCCTAAGTCGGTCTAACTTGGACCACTAATGAAATCCTGGAAGCACTGAACGACCGTTTTGTGCCGGATCGTGAATGAGGATTCGAAACGGTCGTCTAGTGCTTCCAAGTTTTCAACGGTGTTCTAATTTAGATCGATTCATGAATTCAACTATTAAATTTACTAAAATCTCCACAAATCCCCATTCTGATAACACATTTATGTATATATTTATGGAAGTTAAGTGAAACTATTATCTCGTACAATTCAATTGTTATTTTAAAAGAATTCTAGTATCATTATTACTAATCAAGTCAAGTGAAACGCAATCAGTCAGTTTGGATATGTTTAAATAATTAAACAACTGATACTGTTCTTAAATTCTCTTTGATTGAATCGATATAAAGATCAATTAAAGAACCATTGAGCATCAGTGATATAGAACGGAAAATGCTCATATTTTCTTATACATATCAATTCGAATTCATTCATACTATCGAGTAATTATACTCTGTATAGGTAATTTCACTAGGTGATAGAAACCAATTTCGTATGATTGATTTAATTATTTTTCTGATGCTTAAAATTTTGAGAAATACTTCATGGTTCTTAACTGATTGTGAATGACTAATTCGAACATTCCATCCTAGACTATTAAATAAATATGAATGCTAGTCTTGATCTGAATAAATCAGTTTTGAATCAGTATTCACCAAATTCAGTATTGGCCTCCAAGCAATATCATGAAGTTCCGTGTTAAAATAAGGCTTTAATTCAATTACACGAAAACATTCTTGATTAATAAGCTGTCCACGTATGTAGTTCAACATAAACTTGCTTTCATATTATTCTTCATTTCTATGAGAAGCTATGACTTTTGATTATATTTTCATGTATTTCATGTAATAAATTGTAACGCATAATACAGAGGACTAAGACCAGTCAGTCAGTCAGCTACAACGTTGGACCAGGCACATATGTGCATTGGTCCAAGTTGCCACACCTAACTAGCATAATGTGATGAACACCAAATTCATAGAAGCTACTTCAATGGTAGTCATATGTAGAAGAAAGATTGTATATAAGGATATAGTATAGGAAGAATTAGTTCGTAGAAATCAATTTTAATCTCTTAGTTTAAGGTAAGTTAAAGAATGGATACACCGACGCCATTGTGATCGATTCTGAGCCATATTATCCACAGTCTCCAACCATTGGTTAGAACAGTCACGCGAACCCCAACCAAGTAGTTTGCATCTACCAACATGGCTAGAAGACTAGAAGTCAGTGATTTCAAGGACTGATGCCACGTTTTGGTTTGCCCGCCCCTAACTTTCTTTCAACCATCCTCAACACTAGTCAGTATTGCGTGTCATGGTAATCGGTGTTCAGGCATACGTAACACGTGGCCCAATCATCTCAGACGATGTAGATTTACAGCCTCATCAACTGACTTACCATAATTCCCTAACACCCTTTGTCATAAAGCAGAACAGAACGAACTGCCACGCAGTATACTCGTCCTTTTATTGATAGACGGATATCTGGCCTTCGCCATAGGTGACGTAAGTTGGCAAAGGCCAAACGAACTTTTGGGATCTGTGCTGAGATCTCGTCAGACACCAATCTATTGGGACAGAGGACTAAGATGCTTTCATGGTGGAAAACGTCTGTCGGACAATGAGACTAAATCTCATGTCTATTAAGTTAATTAGTTTTGAACATGCATCTAAGTGTATGTATGAGATCAAATGCCACACTACAATATCTCTGTACCATGAGGAAATTTTGTACATAGTGATCTCCATCTTTACCCTCAGTGTTTTTTATTTTACATCATAGTAATTAAGAGTCAAAATAGTAATAAAAAAGATGATTCACTGGATGTTTGTTGAACTTCCCGGTTTTAATGGAACTCTCTGCGTAACAACTGATGACAGACAGAGTTAGTCCCTAATATAGTACTCGATGTTTAAATGATTATTAGAGTTTATTAGTCAATATATAAATTGTCACTACTCAAGTACTGTATAATGCTAAGAATCATTTGAGACAAGAAGGTCGTTTAAAAATGTAAGTTTTACATTATGTCAGTCAGTCAGCTACAACGTAGGACCAGGCACATATATGCATTATGTAGTATTTACTGAATGTTGTTTTTGTTCACTTATGTATATTACATTGTTACTGACATTGTACAGAATGGGCTTTATTTAATTACGAAGTATACACAACTAGCAGTTGACATTAAACATACATTTCAAATGTAAAAATTCTTCATTAATAATCTTTATAACTTCTTTTTTTCCACAATAGAATTTTGTACGTCGTGTAGTTGATGATACATTGGATCGTACAGTGACATTTTGTGAACAACCAAGACATGCTATAACAGCTTTAGAAAATATTTGTACAAGAGCATGGCCTCAATTAGAAGTGAAACGTCATCGTAATCGAATACGTGCCTATCTTAAGGCATGTAGACGTAATTCCAAAAAGAATAAAGGTCAAATCAATATGAAAGAACCACCGGCAAATGGTTTGTCAATTGAAGCTCGACAGCTTGTATCAAAAGCGTTAACTTTAGTAGCTGGAGATTTAGACTACTTAAGACAAGTGAGTAATTGATTTATTGGAAGTTAATTAGTATTGGTGTAATTTTTATGAATTAAAACTAAACACTATAGTCATACTCCTTACTGCGATATTGCGTAATACTAGTTTAAAATTAATAGTCGCTGACAATTTTTGTTGATGAGTGCAAAAATTAAGTTATACAAAACTGTCGGATTAACAAACGAACATTTACTCTGCTAGAGGGTGAATACATCAGTGCTGAGAGACTGTTTACAGTTCTATGTGTAAGCATTATAAAAGTGACAAAGGGCCGTGTAAAAAAGTCTTTATATGATACTTAGATTGCTGGATCTTAATTTAAAAAATTCTGTAGTGCAATCATTATGAAAACGATTAAAGTGGCTTGTAGGTTCAGTCAAGTTCATTTATATAGTGACAAAACTAATAAGGTGTGTGCTATTTAATTATGATAAAAAGTTGTCAAGTGAAGTCATGTAGTTTAGGTCAGTAATAAACCCTAGTTAGATAACACAGTATAGTCGTTTCTTTCAATTCCTCAATAATATGTATCAAAAAACTCACTGAGGACAGCACAGTCAACTTTCAGGTATCGTGGTGGGAGTTTAAACACCAGATCACTGATCAACGATCCAATGGTATAAGTGTCTAGCTTCAATCAATTTGCTATATTTAACAACCATGTTTCTGTGTTATCATCAGGTAACTTTATCATACTGGATATCAATGAACTCCACCGGTCACAACTTTCCAGTGTTTCTCAGTATAGAGTTATGGAGATTGTTGAGGTTTTGATTGAGAGCATGAATCAACTGATGTTAGACCACCATTGGAAGCCTAGAAGCACTGGACGACAGTTTTTTTCCTAGTACAGGACTCCTCAGAAGTGCGCATTCGCGGTCCCACAGGTGGGAATCAAACCCAGGACCTTCGATCTTGCGCGCGAACATTTCCGAGGGGTCCCATACTATGATAAAACGGCTATCCATTGCATCGAGATTTCCTGTTTGTCCAACTAATATTAGTTCATGATGTAAACTATAAAAAGAAATTAACAATCCTCATAAAGTTCTGTACTGACAGTGAAAGTTAACTGTTGAATTTATTTCTCCTTTCATTTTCGTAGACGATGCAAGCAGAGAAAGTTAAAAACGAATCATTATTTTCTTCATCAAAATTAGACAATTCAAGTGAGAAATCATACTCTGCCGCTTCCACCACTAGGAAACGATCTCCTACAAGTTATTCATCAAAAATGAATTTATCCACCATAACAACAACAACAACAGCAACAGCGAACAGTTTAGATTTCACAGATATTTCTAAACCGAGACATGATCAATTTGAAACTTATGGCGCTGGTGATAAGTTAAAATTTATAATAATAATAACAATAATAATAAAAATCTTTGGAATATATCAAATAATCTATTAAATGATATAATAAATAATACATCATTTCCATTTACTGATCCATTATTTTGGTCGAATTCATTTATTCAAAATACTAATTTAGATGGGAATTATTTAGCCACTGCGGCAGCGGCAGCAGCAGCTGCCACAGCGATGGCTGCTGTTAATCCAGCTAATCTGTTGAAATTATTACCAACTCCAATACAATTAAACAATAATACATATTCATCTAATAATATTAATATAAATACGACTGCTACTAGTACTTCCTATTCTTTAACTACTTCACCTTTCACATCATCGTCATCATCATCAGTATTTTCAAATTCACCTAGATTATTAAATAATGACAATGTGAATAATAATGAAAATATCAATGTTACTACAACTACTACTAATAGTAATAATAGTAGTATTGATTTTGATGCGAAACATGATCAACTATTAACTATACAGGGAAAATATTCTAAACGAAATAAATTGTTATCACATACAACATGGTTCGATGATGATCATTTGTTCCAGGCCAGTAATAATAATAATAATAACAATGGTAATAATGGTCACTCCTCAAGTCCTAAGTTGAATGAGCATAAATTTATATCATCAGATAAAGATTTCAATATAGAATCAGAGATAAACAGACAATCTAATTTAATTAACTTTTATCGTTTATATTTGTCAAATGATCCAAGCCATAATAATAATAATAATAACAATAATAATGATTTGAAATATTGTTCACCACCGCCTGCACATATTAGTTCAACTCAATACAGTCCGATAATTAATCAAATATTGGACAGACTAACAGATTCATCATTATTAACTCACGTAAGTTTATTGTTTTTATTTAGAATTTTTTTTTATCTGGATAGGTTCATTTATATATTCTGGTCAAATCTTAGGTTCATACTGATGGACAATACAAAATAGTTAGTTGGTACTCTTTGGTGTAATGTTAGTGTTACTGCTCGAGATGCGATTCTACTCCTGGAAATACAAAAAGTTGTTTCAGGATAGGAAGTGAAGTAGTTGAGCGAGTCAACCGCTTCACTTATCTTGAAAGTATCATCAGCCCTTATGGTCTGGTGTGTGACGAAATCTCAGCACGGATACAGAAGGCTCGACTAGCTTTTGCCAAATTGCTTCATTTATGGCGTAGGTGAGGTATTCGTCTATCAAACAAAGGACGTGTTTACTGCGCAGCAGTTCGTTCCGTCCTACTTTATGGCAGTGTAACATGGTTGGTTAGAGTAGAGGATATTCGTAGGTTACTAGTATTTGATCATAGGTGTCTTTGAATCACTGCTCGTATATCGTGGGACCATCGAGTAAGAAACGCAGTTGTTAGGAAACTGGTACTAGGTAAGGATGGCAAATCAATTGGCGAAGTAGTAAAACTTCATCAGTTGAGATGGCTGAGACACGTGTTACGTATGCCCAACGACCGACCGTCTCGACGTGCGATGTTCAATGGTGTAAGAGTAGGTTGGAAGAAAGCTAGGGGCGGTCAGACCAAAACATGGCACAAGTCGATGAAGTCACTGACAAGTGGACTGAGTCATGTTGGTAGGTGTAGACTACCTGGTTGGGATCCGCGAGATGATAGTAATCGATGGTTAGAGACCCTGAATGACATGGCTCAAAATCGTTTGCGATGGCGCATGTGCATCCACTCTTTGTGTTCTCACAAATTATAATTTTCTCAATTCTTCAAGTCCATTATTTTCTTTCCAAATTTATTTCACTGTTTTATACTCCGTGAATAACATCTTCAAGCCCTAATGTTTCAGATTACTGCTAATAATCTTAATACCCCTAACACTACGGGATTTGAATCGACAACTGCATCTCTGTGCTAATGTGGTGTGGCAATTCAAACTGATGTACGTACGTACGAAGTTCTACGTTGTTACTGACTCACTGAACGAATGATCATGATTCACATCGATAAAGTAGGACAGAGCAAACTGATGCTCAATAAACTCGCCCTTTGGTTGGGAGACGAATATCTCGACTATGCCACAAGTTGTCAAGAACCATTCGAGTTTAGTGGCCCAGGATCTGAATCCAGTTAGAGCGGACAAGTGATCAGTATTGAATGATTGCTGTCGAAATATACATCCTGACTATTCTCATATATAATCATTGACTTAAATCGCATTAGTGAATAACGGAATTAAACAATTCAAATATGAGAATGGATTCTGAATACGTATATTTTGTACAATCGATGATAGGAAAGCGAAGTAAAACAAAATGACGCGCAATAGATAAGGCGAGGGAGCTAACTCGATTTAATCGAGCGTAATCAATATTTATAGTCACACAAAAATTAGCTACAGACATGTCAGAAGAGGGTTTTGTGGAGATTTCAGTAATTTGAATTGTTGAGATCATCAGTCAATTGAAGCTAGACCGTGTGATGAGTAGGTTAAGATACACGTACACATACGCTCATATAAAGTTCAGGTTTGATAAGTGAATAATTAACAAGGTCAAAGGGTGACTCAAGAAGAATGAATGAAGTGATTGTTTCTGTTGTAACGGGTAGATTGCAGGGTTTGATAAGCAGCGTTTTATTGATCGGATCAAAGACATGCAAACACGTAAGAACGACCTAGAGTCCCGATTGGTCCCGCTACCCTGTCCAGCCCAGCCAGTTGAGTCTAGAACTCAAGTCACAGCCTCTGAGTTATGAACCGTTATATTTCAAACATACTCTGTTTATATACCAAACAAACAGACCACATCGTACCATAAAAATAGAAAACAACATTTACACAATATGTAACAAGTGAAATAAATATCGAACAATAGGAAATGTCCATTTAACGTCCAAGGACACCATTCGACTTAACACGATAATGATTGGTATATTCCTCAACATACCTAACAGTTTTGACATTTGGTTCGAGTCACATTTTGTGCATATTTTCAGATGCCTTTATTCTCACAAAGCAACTAGTTATTTCTACTTTTGAAACCATGTATAAATGTTAATTCAATAATATATCAAATTTCATACGATCATTTACATACTATTTGGTCTGGACTTTACATAATTAACATCTTTTCATACACAATCATATCAACTTCCTGAAGATTGGTGTTATCAAAAATGTGAGCTAGAGAATCATTGATATCTGATAGAAAGTCTTGAGGATTGTACAATCACTAACCTATAAGTTATCTAAACTGAAATCTCCAAGCTTCATAACAAACAGGATAGATACTCTTGGGTTATCGAATTCTAATTCAATGGCTACATTTTTAAACGCAATCAACTCATTGTGTAACGTGAAAATCACCTAATAATTTTGATTTCACCCATCACAGTTTTAACAATTAGCCAGTTAGTTATAATTAACATAGATGGGATTCATCGGTTATAACTTTTTCACCAAAATGTTTGGAATTAATCTCGATGCTATTCATAGTGTTTTATCTCCATAAAAATATTTTTTCACAATTATACTAGTAGTAAGATTATTTCAGATGTACTACGTAAATACTTCAAACATATCAAACAAACTTTAGTGAAGTTAGATGGTGTTTAATAGTGATATTCACGATGGATATTTAAGTGTATTTACAACACGTCAGCTGAATGTGCCAGTGTTGTTGTTCACACTGAGTTTCAAACCCAGTATCATTGACCTTTAATAGCGACGTGTTATCTACTAAACTACTGATCCCAGCTGGCCAATTACTTGTTCGGTGGATACAATCCAGGTTTACCAAAACCTCGTGACTAAATTGTGAAATAGAGGCGATCCGCCCAGTTTTTAGTATTAACGATGGAAAAATACCAGCAATTACAGACAAAATCCAAACAGACATAACTCTCTTTACGAGGGTCAGTTTGGATAAATTTGACAATCTATACATCTAGTTAACTGAGCAAAAACTAATGGATTTATGTCCAGTTTATTAACTTGAATATTTTATAAAAATCTGAATGCATTTGTATTTCATTTAACAAGTAAACACTACTTATTAGTAGTTTGAGTTTAGCGAACAAATAATGAAATTGAAAACCTAATGCAACTGGTAACATTATTTGATTGAATCTTATCTCATATTTTGAATTAAGTTTAAACTATTTCATTATATATAGTTGTAGGATTCCATGAAAACCGCACAGGCAGTTCAGAGAGCCAAGTGGCACCTCAAGGTAACGGATATTCCTTGTTGACGAATTCCAAATAACACAAAATCTTGGTCAATCTGAACTTCCTATCATTGCCTTCAGGATCCTGATACCAAATATAGTACAAACGGCTCTAAGTAACTGAGATAAATAATCAAACTACAGTATAACCGATAGAACTCCACAAAACTTAATTGACAGACATGACCTGGAATCTAGTGATTAGTCAATGTAAAACACTGTCTTGTTAAGAAAATATCAAAATCGATATACATCTCTAAAATATTTGCGTATTTTTAAACAATATGACTGCAGTGAATGGGGACGACTTGCAGTAATTTTTCAGTATGAATGTTGAGCATCGAACGATGGTGAAGAAAGTTGTTTATTTTAAGGTTATAAGCATACAAAGAACAGACGTAGATTGTCTAATGTTTGAAATCAACTTTCACAAAGGACTTTCAGTTAGACCGTTTTACATAAAAAGGCATAACCAATTTTTCTGTCTAGGTCTCCTTTTACTTGCTCACTTTTTGGTGAATGATAACTTTCTAAGTAATTTAACTCTTTAGTGTCTTTTTCCCTTCATCAATCCGTTCTTCATCTTCATAACACATTGAGAGTTTATTGACGATTTTCGCTTTCTAGATTTAGTGATTTCATTTGGCTCTCTTTTTCTGGAATATGAAACTATAATTTAGTAGTTTCAGCGCTCAGATTTCAACCAGCAGATTGCAGATTCTAACCAAAATCCCACCAAAATTCTATTCAGTCATATGATTATTTTTAATAACCGTCAAACAATGTATGGTTCAAAGCCGAGTATGCTAATGAAAAAGACAATCTAAAGAGTAGTAATTTTGGGTAAAGGTGTATGGAATCATATGTGGAAAGTATAAACTGACATTAGGATGACAGGTGCATTGGTAGTGATAAGAAAATAACAGTTTGAATAAATTCTTAACATAGGAAGTAGGCCAAAACTGGGGAAATTAAACCTTTCGATATAAGTCATTTAAAAACTATGTAATAAGAAGTGTTATAGTAATCATTTTGAGTACATAAGTAGTGAAAAAGAATAAACAAACAGATGGCGTGGATAATTGGTAGAATTATTTACTAAGACTTATTGGATCAAAGGAATGTTATAAGTCCCTTTTCAATATGGTGACTAAGGTTGTCAACTCGAATCCATATAGTTCCTAATATATGTAGGAGACGAAGACAAATCCCTTTAGAAATACCTGATGGTTTACTTTAAACAATTCTAAATATTTTGTCTTTATGTACCACAGGGTAACTATCAACTAAGCGTGATGGTACAGGCCAGAGTATGTACACGATTGGGAATTTTTACCAGTAGAGTTGTAGTGTGAGCTACCTATATCCACATAAGTAGTATATAACGATAGTCAGGAATAGGATGTATTTCAGTAGAAGATAGAAAAGGAAAGAACGGGAACGGGAAGCAATTGGTATGAAAATGCAAGAACAATGAAATTTGAGACGATGGACTGATATTTGCAAAAGAAACAGTCAAGTTTGAGACAATTGATTGATATTTTGCAAATTAACTATTTACTGTATGGATCGTAGATTTTAGTGAGACATTCTGTAGTTTTGTGTTCAAACACATCCGACCGTCCCCACTCGTGTTCTTGTTCGTTAAAAAATTACTCACCGACGATGGTAGGACGAACCAGAAGAATTACTTAGTCACCATAATTGTTTCAGACAACAGACTCACAAAAAACTAGATCCAGATGAATGGAGGATAACTGAGAAACTGATGAAAGTTTTTAAGAGGAACGAGACATGTGGTCTTGGTTCCGCAAACCCTCAGTCGCCAGTTTGTTGTGACTTCGAGCCCAGTTAGTTATCATGTGATTTGTTATTCAATCGGAATAACACTTACGCAACCTTGGTACTGTACCAAACTAACGACGTATCGACCGATCTGAGCAGCCTAGCGTCCTTATTGATCCTTTGTTCGCCTAGCCCATCCAGTTGAGTCCAGAACGCCAATAACAGCTTCCACTATGCGAATCATCTATTTCAAACATACTTGGTTTATATACCAGCCAAGCAGACCACATCACACCATAAAATAGGAAATAACATTTCTACAAGATAAAGCCAAAAAGTGGTTGTGATTGTGGGAGACTTTAATCAATAAACTGAACATAACTTAAGAACAGTAGTCCATGAGTAAAAATGAAGCTTATAATAAGCAGAGTATAGATATAAATAATCTTGTTACTGAGCGGTTATATAATGGGAATGTATATATAATATTAGTCCATTAATAGTTCTCAGAATAAGGACGACAGTTTGCTCATATCAGTCGATACGTCGTTAGTTGGGCACAGTACCAAGGTTGCGTAAGTGGTATTCCGATTGACTAACAAATCACGTGATAACTAACTGGGCTTAAAGTCATAACACTACTTATCTCTTGTTATATTCACTATTATAAGACAAGCTTGTTAGAAGCATTGGCGAGACTACAATTTACGGACGAACCAATCAGGTATGAGATAACAGGTCTTGGATTTTGGCGCGAAATTCACTCGTCCTTTTGGCTGAAGAGTTTTGGCATTATAGCTGATGTCAGTTCGTGAATAAAAACCCTAAATCTAATTCCCAATCTTAATCATCAACTGTAAATCATAATTATAATTCCTGAACACTCTCAAGGTCAGTCTGGTGTCGCTCAAAGCTCGTCCATATATTATAATCTCACCGAAGCATTTTATCGCATGATAGTGTTTGAAGCCAGTTTAGTTTTTATGAGAATGATAGGAAAAATGTTTGGTGTAATATTTATCTGAAAAAGAAACATACAACTTATAATGATTCTTTCTTTTCCATAAATTAGAATGATGTGGAATTTTTCATACAAAATTATGAAATTACCAAAGTTGCCATTCAACAAGCACGTTGTAGATCGAATTTAATTTTGAAGAAAATTGAAATTGTAGAAAATCAAATTAAATCTTCTTCAATAATCAATTCAAAGACAATGCCATTAAATCTATCTTGATCACTTATATATATGTAATTTGTTTATTTATATATGTAAAGAAAGAATGATTCTTTAGTTTGTCATTGTGACAATTATTTAATGTGTATAAATAATGCAATTGGAAAGTAAAAACAAGGAATCATCTTGAATTTACACTGTGTTATACATTAGAATTCTATAAACAGGAACTAAATTCTGACGAATTGAATTTTAAAAGAAAAACAAACAAACAAACAACAACAGAATTATGGTTATTTCATTTCGTTTGTTATTGTTGTTCATGTTATTTGTCTTCTTCAGTGTATTGACCTACTAACTATAGTTAAATGCCAAAGACGTCTTTTGTTTTTTTCTTTTTAGTATGTATGTACATTGATTGCTCAATAGTTAGTTATTTTGAGAAATGTAATTCACTTTTGATTTATTAAACATTTAGTTTTAAAACAAGTAGGTTTTCTGATGTATTTTTCTTGAACAAGCTTGTTGATTGTTAAAGTAAAACAAAGACGAAGCATGTTTAAAACTTCGTGACAGGATTTATGCCTAATAGTCGATTAATTGTAGAACGGTTAACCACTGTTTGGTGATCAGAAAATTTATTTTAGAATGATAACAAGGAAATCGCCATCAGACCATTTAACAATGTAGTGAGATATGCTAGACTACTTATTAATCTTTTAAGTAGTATAATTTTGAAGGGAAATTTTTGTATTTAGACACGTTTTTCGAGCATTTTGATAATCAGGGTATTGTTGTATAGACGAAATGATATTTCAAACGCCAATGACCATCCTCCATATATCATTTTGGAAAACTCAGTGCCTCCAAGCTAAAAGTTATACAGATTCCAGTTTTCGCTAATACACTTTTTATGATTGCGAGACTGATCTAGAAAATCACAATTAATGCATGATATATCAAATTTCTAATAAAATGAATCCAGGAATCTATCCAACTATGATCGTAACTCATTTATAACTAATTGTCTTAAAAGTAAAGTTTTTCTCATAAACTTTTCTGCTAGTAAACATAAGATGGTAAAAAGAGTAGGTCAACATTTTTGTAGACAATGATTACATTTATCAGTATAGGGTTATGTAGATTATTGAGCTTGAATTGAATATGAAGAGTGATCAATATTACATTTATAAAGAAAAAAGACAATTTAGCGAAAAGAATTTTCAGAAAATTTTTATTTATTTAAGCCATAAATACGTTTTTATAGTCAATAAATTTGTTATAAATGATGGTTGCAAAATGCGGCCATTAAGAGTTGAAGATACTCGTAGGCTACTGGTATTTGATAACAGATGTTTTAAAAATATTGCTCCCAGCTGCTGGGATCACCGGGTAAGTAATGGTGAGGTTAGACACAGGGTATTAGGGAATGATAGTAAATCAGTTGATGAGATTGTGAATCTTCATCGACTGAGATGGTTGGGCCACGTGTTACATATGATTGAACACCGATTACCACGGCGCACAATGCTAACCGGTGTTGGAAGCAACGAGAAGAAAGTTAGGGGCGGCCAAACCAAAACGTGGCATCAGTGCTTGAAGTCACTAACTTCTAGTCTGAGCCATGTTGATAGATCCAGAATACTTGTTTAGGGTCTGTGTGACTATCGTATCCACTAGTGGTTGAAGATTCTGGGTGAAATGGCTCAGAATCGATTACAATGGAGTAGATGTATACACTCTCTGTCTTCCCTTAAACGATGAGATTAGAATCGCTTCATATCTTTCTTTCTACGAACTAATTCTTTCTTCCTGTACTATGTCCTTATATGCAATTTTTCTTTTATATATTAGCACCACTGAATTAACTACTTCTATGAATCCGGTGTTCATCTTGCTGTGCTGAGGTATGGCAACTTGGACCGATGCATATATGTGCCTGGTCCCACGTTGTGACTGACTGACGATAAATGATGGCCTGTATTAAGATATAATGAAATTGACTAATTAAAAAAGAAAATTCCAGCAAATATACTTGTTATGACCTTGACGTCTGATTTTTCTATCACACGATTTATCTACCAATCCGAATACGACTTATACGAATCTTCACACTAGGCCAACCAATGACGTTCAACCGGTGCGGACAGTTTAGCGTCCTTATTGGTCCTATGTCCTACGAGCCCTTCCACTTGAGTCCAGAACACAATACCAGCTTTCGAATATGAATCGAATCGAATCGTTTATTTCATGCATACTTGGTTTATATATCAATCACACAGACCGCAACGTACCATAAAATAGGAAATAATATTTGTACACAAGTAAGCCCAAGAAGTGGCTGTGAATGTGGGAGGCAGTAGTTAATAAACTGAACATAATTTAAGAACCGTAAATCGTACAATAATGAATTATAGGTCAAAACAAAGCTTATCATAAAAGGAATATAAATATACATAGTGTAATTGTTGAGTAGTTATACAATAAGAATATTTATAGAATATTAGTCCATGAATAGTCCTCGGAAGTTACCTGTAATTTAATGTTCACCGGATATAACAATACTAAACATAAATATGATAGTACAACAAAGAAAACTCACTTCACTGAATTATCCTTACTCTTCATCAATCATATAATGGGACTCCATATATATTTAATCATTGGATTTACTGGCTTACCCACTTACTTGTGTTTACTTAAACTGCCAATAAATATTACAAACTTCCCGTACATTGTAAATTTTCTTATTTATTGTGATTTTCAGATGTATAAGTAGTTTATCAGAAGGGGTTTGTGGAGATTTTAGAAATTTTACAGATTGAAATCATGAGTCAATTGAAGTGGGAGACTGATAGGTCCTGGTTTCGAATCTCGCGGGGTGCGGAATCGTGGATGCGCACTGCTGAGGAGTCCCATACTAGGACGAAACGGCCATTCAGTGCTTCCAGGTTTTCCATGGTGGTCTAGCTTCAATTGACTCATGATTTAAATTTGTGGTATAAGTAGTTTGTTTCACAAAATTAACTGTAGGGATAAAACTAAAGTCTCGACAGCTATATACAATGGCGGATTTGTGTTGTGGGAATAGTTAACATAGACTTATTTTGTAATTAGTTCTTGTTATTATTCGCATTTTCTTTTATCAATTCTCATAATTTATCGAATTATTATTATCCACTGTAGAATTGTTGTTTAAAAGAAAACATGATCTTTGATCTAATTTTGAATCCCTCTTGCATGACACATGGATTATCGCTAACAAATACACTGCTGTACACATATACTCCTTGTTTTCAATTATCCTCTGTTACAATAACAGAACTTTGATATATTTGATATATATGTTTACAGATCATATAGTTATTCTCATTACATGCTTTATCTAGATATACATCTTGGATTATAGCAACCATAGTTGGAATTACTAAATACTTATAATTGTGAATTATAAGACTAAAAGAAACTCGAACACGCCTACTCCTGACAGTTTAAGTAACATCCAGTATATGAAAACAAAAGCGAACTAATTACAAAATAAGTCTATGTTAACTATCCACACAATATAAATGTCGAAAAACCAACACGGTTTCTTAAATTGCATATACATTTCTATTTAAGTTTAATTAGTAGTCAACCTTTTATGACAATCATTCACTGAACGATACACTTGTGTGTCTCCCATGAATGATAATAATAAAAATAAAATAATAACTCTAAGGCTATGACATAATTGTCAAAGTGTCATTAACAAGAGTTTAAAGTTGTTTAGATTGTGTAATTATTATTATTAGTAGGGGGAATATCAACTATTTTAACCAAATAACAACTGAATATAATCAAAAGAAAAACGGATTCTTATCAGCTATACATTATAATTCAATTAAAGAATGGATAATAACATATAGAGAGAATCTGTTATTAATTCTGTTAACGGATGATAATAATAGATTTATAGGCATGTATATGTGATTAAGAAAATTATAAATCACAATATTTTCCTTGTGTATGTACGTGTAACTCAATTAGAAAAAAATAGTTTGTCCAATAGCATCAAAATATCATAGAAAAAAACACAGTTGTCAACAAAATAAGATGGGCTAAGTAGGTAGGTAGGTAGGTAGAGAGAGAGAGAGATTATTTATCATAATCGGATAATAGTTACTGAAAAGAAGTATACAACTGTAATCAAGTAGTATTTAAATGAATCACCACAAATTGAAACTTATGCAATACACAATGTCATTATAAGTGAATATATTAATTGCGTTAATTCAAAGATTAGAGTCCAAGTGTTCATGTTTAGTCATGGCCAAATCGATCTCATTGATCATTAACTGGAAAAGAATGAGTTAAGAAAAAAAAAGAATAGACACTATCGTATAAGCACAGTAGTTAGTCATAAACAACATTAAGCCTAGCATAAAAGTGTATCAGCCCATATTGTCAAACTACATTATGACGGTGGGATGAAGATAATGAATAACAAATGAGTTGAAACCATTGAAGTATTAATGATAGGGAGAAAAATTAAATATTGGATAAAAAGTCTTCAACCACTGTTCGAAGTTTATGCGCAGATCCTAACCAATTAGTCTGAATCTACCAAGGTAAGTGGTGGTTTGTACCCTAAGGTTGCGGTTCAAAATTGTCGAAATCACGATTAATTGAGTTTTTTTCTCAGATCACTCAAGAAGAAGAACCCCTTCCAACAAGGAAGTGAAAGTTTTTATGCCTCAAATTGCAATAAAGCTAATCTTATTCACACAACTAACAAATTCTTTAATTAGCGATAGGTGCAAATCATCAAACCGATTTTGAGACATACTATCCGAGATATTCTATCATTGGTTCCAACTGTCACGTGGACCCAATCTACAAGTTAATGAATTCATGAATAAGTATTACATTTTGATCTGATCGATTATAAACTTTTCCGATATACTTATATACTAGTGTCTACCATTTCATGCTGGGGTAATAGATAGTTGGGGGGTTCTCGTCAACGAACAATATTCTTAAAAATATTCTGCACAAAGATATATATATACTTACTTTGGCTAAATTAAGATCACAGTCAAATTGTTTAGTCCGATGACCTGATGTAAACATTTTTTTCTGTCTTTCTTTCAAATTAATTAAGATTCCACTTTTGTTGACAACTGGCACCTCAGATAAATTTTCTAATGGAGTTTTCCAATCAACTGAAAATGTTCCCAATAAATCCATTGATTCTATGATTAGTAGGTTGCTAATAAAATGCAAAACAAAATATCATAAGCGTTACAGAAGTTTATATATATATACTGGACAGGATCAAAGAAAGGAAGAACAAGACAGCAATTAACAACAGCCGAACACGAGCAAAGAAAGTCCAAGCACAAGCTGAGTACATAGAAGCAAACAAGCAAGTGAAGAAGAACATTAGAGCCGACAAGAAGAAATACGTGGAAGAGCTAGCAACGACGGTGGAAAGAGCTGGAAGAGAAGGAAATATGAAACAGCTTTACGACACAACGAAGAGACTAGCAGGGAAATATAGTAAATCAGAGAGACCGGTCAAAGACAAAGAAGGCAGGCCAATCATTGAAATTCAAGAACAGCGGAACAGATGGGTAGAGTACTTGGAGGAACTCCTGAATAGGCCGGCTCCAATGAATCCACCGGACATCGAAGCAGCGCACAGAGATCTTTCTACAGATGTCAATCCGCCAACGACGGAAGAAATTAGAATGGCCGTCAGACAAATCAAGAGAGGGAAAGCAGAAGGATCCAACAATATACCAGCTGAAGCACTGAAGTCAGACATCGAAGTAACTACAAACATGCTTCACCTTCTATTCAAAAAGATTTGGGAGGAGGAACAAGTGCCGATGGACCGGAAAGAAGGATACATCATCAAGAGGGGACTAGACAGATGTTTTGTATTAATATTGTTATTTATTTATTTTAACACATAGATATTGGTACAAGGAGACACCAAATACATATGCGCCACACAAATCTCATTCGATATGTGTGAGGGTTGTGATACTACCTGGATGCCCAAACCGAAGCGGGTGGTTTTCTGAGGGGGCCACTCCCCGAGCCTTCGACCTGAAGGTCTGATCCACAAGGCAGTGGAACATCGTAAGGAGATGCAGTCACATGGAAGCCGGTGACCAACGTTTGGTTCATACGCCATTTGTTCCCGCAGGATACTGCAGCTCATGTGCACCATCAGTTTGGAATCCGGTTAAAGCGCCGGACATTCGCTTTTCGTCCTCTCATTTTTGTACACAACACCCCCGCTACGAGAAGGCAGTGAGTAGGACTTCCCTGTCAGAGGCTATATACGCGTGGCCATGTGAGAGCATTTCGAGAGGGAGAGCGGACTCTCCCCACTCTCGGCCATACCAGGGCATTCAAGGGCTTTGTATTAATACAGAACTTCTGAACAGTGAATATTCACGACTACACCAAGGATTGAAACTAGAAGACCTATGAGTAGAATGGTGAAAGTGCAGTACAATTTAAACTATTCAAATAGTATTAGCTAGTTCATATTTCCAATTTCAGTCAATTTGCGATATTGTGTAATCAGACATCCGTTAAAATGATTTTCATTGTAAACTGATAACAAATAGTGAATTAATGAAAGGTAGAATGTATTAGATAACTTAGTTAATAGTATTGAGCGGTAGTACACATGCACAAATTATTTAGTCTGGTAGTTTGAAGTTTCCTGGTTAGCGTTTGGGAAATCAGAAACCCTCAAGGCCAAAGAAGAAAAGAAATACGAAAGAATACATTACGTCGAGAAATGAAAACAGATAAAAGAAGAATGAACAACTATTGGATAGAACTAGAAAGGAAGGCCCAGGACAGAGTGGGTAGGAGAATGCTGGTCGGCGACCTATGCTCCACTGGGAGTAACAAGCGTAAGTAAGTAAGTTTGAAGTTATTACGGTCGAAGTGAACATCACAAGATTCTTGATTCAATCACATATGAAATTGTAGTCGATGAAAACTGATTAAACATTTAAAACGTTAACAAATAGAAATCATAACTGATTTGTGACATAATTCAACACAATGTAATATCAACTTATCTTTAAAATATGCAAAACTCTCTATGAAATAATAAAAAAACTGATATATGAGGCTTATATAAATGTTTAGAAATTTCTTTAAAGAAGTTACCTTTTTCAAAGGTACAATTAATTTTGCATACATTGAATGGATTGATAAAAAACTAAACAGAATGCGTTCAAAGAGTATTTATCATTTTTATTAACTCATTTATCAAGAAAAGATTAGTGTATATGGTTTCGAACTATACTTTAGATATAAGAGCTAGTGATACTACCGTATTATCTAGAACGAAACGGATAAGGCTGGATTGAAAGTTCAACACATTGAACATTAGCTCATTGTTGAATATAACGAAGAAATAAACGAATTAGTAGTCAAGTGTACAACCAAAACTTTTGTGAGTGGGCAAGAAGTATTGATTATCTGTTCAAATATAAATGTAGTTGGATTGAAGTTCAAATTTACAAATACAGAATTTATCACTTCACTAATTCATAGACTATTAAAATAAGTAACATATAAAGTACTTACTTTGTTGTTAAAACTAATGCACTATTTCCACGAACAGAATGAATATGAAATAGATATTGACCAAAAATACCATCTTTATCTACTTGCTAAGATGGGATAAAAGAGAGAAACAAACAAAGAAGTGAAAAAAAAATATGAAATTGACATTATTCATCATCATCATTAAAGTGAAAAGAAGTTATTCATCTGTCGTTGATCAGGTGTAAAATGATATAAAAGTAGAAGAAAATAATCATATGATGGCATTTGTTTTATGTTTTGGAAAATAGACTTTGTTCTATTAAATAATAATAAACGTTGTACTTCAGCGATTATTGTACAAAGTACTTGAAATCTACCAATCAACATCTCTCTCTCTCTCTCTCTCTCTCTCTCTCTTATATATATATATATATATATATATATATATATATATATATATATATATATATATATATATATATATATATATCCAGAAAATAACTACAGAACTGTATGCCAGTTTACAGGAATGGTCAGGTTGATACAATAAAGAGTATCACATGTAATGGAGAATAAGTACAATACTAAATAGTTTAAAGAGATATAAATGATAAACTGTTTTAATGGAATCTTTGCAGCAAATATTATAGTAATATGAAAGGTCAGTTTGGAACCAGTATTTTCTTAATAGGTAGACTAGGAAGTCATTTTTGGGGATGAAAAATGTAACAAAGAGAGAGAGAGAGATCATAAAACAACTTCGTTATTATTGCATAAAAATAGACTCAATAATATATATGAAGAATAGTTTATATTAGACAACTGATTAATCACTGGGTAGTGTCATGCTTGTCTAGTCCTTTGGTGTTAATAGAACTCTATCAATTAAGTTGTAATGTGGTCACTAGTATAAGTAGCTTGGAATCAGGTGTACTATGGTGAGACACTACATGGTTGAAGGTAGTCAACAGAAAACTCTGAATCTAGGTTTCGTGCTAGTTAGCACCCATCAGCAAGGTATACCTACAATAATGAAGGAAACTGATACTCTCTGTGGGATTCGGACGTTTCAAACTGTGCAGTTAGATGATACGGGTTTGAATCCCACAGGAAGAGTAAGGGTTTCGTTACGTTTACAGGTACCCCATACTGACGAGTGCTAACTACCATAAAACCTCGGTTTACAGTTTTCTGCTGACTAGCTGCAACCACTATATATAATACATGATGCACTTAATAAAGAACAGTTAAGGATGAAATTGTTGGGAAAATAGGTGTAGTACACCTGGTATATTGGTTATGAATTATCTAAAACAAATTTCACTTGTATGTGTATTTCAGTTGGCTTGCAGAAAATTTGTGTAATGTTACTTGGTGTAAGATTTGAAGGTCATGTGTTTGATATCATGCATTTGCATAGGAGAGTTGTGGTTGAACAACGTTCAGAAGTTTCACACTTGAGGTAAATCAGGTATTTTACTGCTCTCTCTTTGTTATTTACTTGTGTTGTTAGTTGATATCTTAGTTCGTGGTGACAACTACCTTGGAAGTAAGTTGGTATTTACTAATTATTAATAAAAACAAACTTTTCATCATTTGACATAAAAAAGAAGTGACAATATTGTATACAATAGGATAAAAGTGAAATGTTACAAATGGTAATTCACAAAAGAACTCAATACATTGCATTAATTAAAGTTATTAGTCAACATCGCCCATTCCGAGTGATTAAGAATGAACGAGTGCAACTGTACCAAAACATTTTTCGGGGGGGGGGAGATGATGCTGAGAAATATAACAATGTAAACGAGACCTTTACATGTCCATTAAAATCTTAACTGATACAATCTTACTGAAATCGTTAAACAACATTATGCCTTAAATCATTACTGTATTAATTGTTGTTTATATTTGTTGGGATATTCAGAAAAATATCCCAAAAAAATTATCCTGTTAAGTCTAATGGTATCCTTGGACTTGAAATGGTATCATTTTCCTATTGGTCAATATTTATTTCACGTGTTATTTTCCTGTTGACCAAATATTGTACAAATGTTAGTTTCTATTTTATGGTACAATGTGGTCTGCTTGATTGGTATATAAACAGAGTATGTTTGAAATAAACGATTCATATCGCAGAGGCTGAGACTTGTGTTCTGTACTTAACTGGCTGGGCTAGGCTAGAAGCAGGTCCAATCAGGACTATAGACTGCTCGCATGTGTTTACGCGTCACTGATCCGATCGATAAGTCGCTGCTCTCTAATTGGCGGTCACAAGTTATAACAATATTATTATGATTATGAAGTTAAGGATTACAAATTCAATCGCTTAATCTGTATTGATCTTGTGTAAGCACTTTCTACAAATCCTATACCATTTTACTAGGAATTCCTACGGATTTAAAGTTTATCTGAGTAAACAGACAAACATCGAAGAAAATATTTGTAGATATGTGCATATTGATTTGACAAAAAGTGAACTAATTACAAGCTCAGAAGGTTAATTTTTTATTAATACCAAAATTTAAGTGATTTGATTTCGTTATAACTTTTGCCCCTGTCAGTTATCGCCAATCAGAATACCAACTTATATGACCTTGCTCATGTGCTAAACCAATAACATGTCGAACAGTATTACCAGCCTTACGCCAACTCTGAATCCTTATTGATCTCTTCTCGCTTGACTTTGTCTGTTGCATTCAGAATAATGCAATATCACCCTTTACTACATGAATCGTATAATTTAGACATATGTGGTTTATATACAAGCAAACCAGATAGCATCTCATCATAAAACGAAAAATAATAATTATACAAGATCAAGCCAAAAGTGGCTGTGAGTGTGAGATTTTAACTAATAGACAAGGAATAAATTAAGAATGGTAAATCGATTAACAGTAGCCAATAGGCCATATGACAGCTTATGATAAAAGGTATATATATATATATATATATATATATATATATATATATATATATATATATATATATAACATTTAGTGATTGGATTTAATGACATTGAAAACTTAAATAGAATTTAGATAGTTTGAAACAAATTAATGAGTCGACGAAGTTGAGAAATTTAGGAATACAACTATCATATCATATGATCAATAATGAAACTTTGTAGAAGATACTGGTTATTGATAGTAAAAAAGGAGTTCAGAAATTATCAGACGAAATGGCATCAAGATGATGGTGAATAATTGTAGCTTGAGATGAGCATTTCGAAAGCGTTTTATTCTCCGAGGTTGATAGTTTAGTTGTGAAGTTTTCGTTGTCTTTTTAAACAACATCATCAGAAAAAAGCGCTACATAGGACAAAGTGGTCGCTCATTGTGTCCACATGTATGTGAACACCAGTTGGATGTTAAAATCCACGAAATAGCCGTGTTTATATCAATACATGTGTGCGCAACTATGGGTATGCATGATTGGAAAACGTCGAAACATTGAACAGAGGGAATGTAATGAAAGAGAATTTTTAGAAACTTGGCACTCTGGTCACAGATTAACCAAAAGAAAAACCGAAATCAATCCACTTTATTAGCCATTAAGGAAAAGAATAAACAATAAAATAGAAGATAATTTAATCACAAATAGGCAGACAATGTTCATATAATTGTGGACAAAAACTAAACGAATTCCAGATCAATAGAATAGATTGTTAGTTAATTGTACAGATATTCTTATAGTTCACTTCCGTTTGAAGTGTGTGCTGATGACGTCATTAACTGGAAATATAATGAAAGCTTCGCGACCTAACTGTCTGATTCAGAAAGCAAGACATCAACGAAATGAGATTAACGCTTACTTTAAGAATAAGATGACCATCAGCTTCATGTTTATCATACGGTCTTATAATCCCATCAGAACGAATAAACCGAGGAGGACGAACACGTGAAACTTCTTGTGTTGTATCAGCTAATCTGTTATATAACAGAACGAATGAAAATAAAAAAAACTGTAGCGATGATGAAGACAGGATATTAAGGAAATAAAATCGATTGTACAAAGTTTCGCAATATAAACAAAATATCTTCAACAATTAGAGTATTTTTTATGTGAAATAGATCAACATTTATTTCATAGGAATCATGAACCGATCTAAGTTAGGTAACTATTGGAAACCTGGAAACATTAGACGTCCGTTTCGTTATAGTATGAGTGTCCTCGAAAATGCGCATCCACGATCTCGCATGCGGAAAACGAACCCAGAAACTTTAGTTTCGCTCTTAGGTGCTTAACCTCTAGACCTCTGAGACAGGTTGGTTGTCTAACTTCGATCAGTACATGATTTCAATGAAATTCAACAATCTCCACAACTCCATGCTAAAAATTAATTTCGCAGATCAATTAGTTAATAATTTAGAGGAAAAAAACCCCAAAGTATAATATTCCCATGAAGTAAAATTGTTACATCTCTTTAGAGTATTGAAATAAAAGTAGAATATCAGAAGAAAAAACAGATGAATAGAATTTATTAGATATTTGTAACAGTGATAACTTTTTCGAAGATGAATCGCCAATATAAACCATGAGATTGAGAAACAATCAAGAGTATGCATGAAGAAAGATCAATTACACAGTGATATTTTTGTTTCATGTTCACCTGTTTCTGATAGGGAGAGGCAATCAGAAGTAGACTAGTGAGGTTAATCGATGGCAATCAGAAGTGACCTAAACTAAAGGACGAGTGACTATCACTGGCTAAGAAATGGGTTAACTTCCTGAGGATAGAGTAGTATATATATGAATGAGTATGCATTTTATTTCCTAACCCAAAATACTTTCTCGTTCAAATAGTCAGTTGGGGGAGAGGGTAGTGCATAGCACACTGTGTATAAGTATCAAATTCCGAACAAAGCTCGTCACAACAGTTTCATTTTCTTCTTTATAGTAATAAATGTTAGTATGAATCTTGTAAGTGGAGTAGTTGTTAATTAAGTGGCTATTCTCAAAAAAAATATACATGATAAGTTGACGACAACAAGTCACTTTCTATTCATCATGTTAAACTAATCTTATTGTGTTATTATAGTAATAGCAACTTGTACTAACACACATCTGTATCACATTCTATGTTGTATACAAATGATTCAATAGGAATAAATTACCTGCGAATTCCTTCAAATGAACTGCTAGCAAAATCAACAACTCCAGAAACTGGACGAGTTACTGCACCAACAAGACCTTTGCCAAAGCCTAGAAAATTAAACATAAAAAAAATTACGTATGTGAAAAAATCAAAAACAGACAGGTATGGATGTAATTTGATTTTTTGGTGAATCACATAGAAGCCCGATAACAATGGGGAATGAATGAAATACTTGCCCCCAAATTATCGAATTAATGCCTTCTATTGATGAACTGTTCATTCACGCTCACGCCATAAATAAGTTTAGCGTCGACCCTTGTGCAATGGTTACGGCACAGTTTATGACCATCGCTTTTGTTTATACCAGACCTAATGGGGGTTCTTAAAGATAATCCAGTCAGGCATTAAGGAATAATTTGTTTCTTCAATTCTTTACTACATAACTCAAAAATCTTTGCTTCAAGCTTTTCAGGCAGTCTATATTGACGACAGAAGGGGGGACTAGTTCTATCTTCATCGGTTTCGGTAGAGTGGAGGTAAACCCGGTTTTTACCTAGTCAATCATATTAGTTCATGGGATTAAGTTCCACTATGCCAGGGACACCTTAAGGTGTGGGTTGAGCTTTGGCATAGCATATATATGGAAAACAGCAGTAATCAACACCAGCACTCAACTTCATTAGTTATTTCATGTGGGTAGTTCAAGAATACGACTATCGCTACAGTATTACATTTAATAATCCCAGATTACTAAAATATCTACCAAAAAAATCCATACCTTTGAAAAAACCTTCAACTCCTTCCTTTTTAGCCCCTTCGAAAGGTTTTGTAACCACTCCAGTAACACCATGAAATACACCCTAAGAAGTAAAAAGAAACCATTATCGTAGATAATTTTTTTAAAGAGGTACACAAATACTAAAAGTGGTAGACTCATACTGGCTTACCATAAATAAACCTCGACCACCTTGAGCTAGACCAGCACCAAATGTTTCTGGACGTCGTGCTAACTGTTCACGACGTTTACGTTTATAATCTTCATCTAGAGTTAAAGCAGCGATACCTTTACCAAGTGTGCCAGTTATACGTGAAACTGCACCAGCTGCCCCACCTTCAAAAGGAAGAAGTGGTGTAGTAAAATGATTGCTATAAATCTTATTAAAAATCACCTATAAGCATAAAACCTAAACGAAGAACGATTTAATTATTAACACTAAGCAAACCATATCATTACACATAAATGCTAAAGACTTATTTGAGTGTGAAAATTTGTATGTTACTAATACTTAAGAGATTTCACAACATTGATGACTATTTTGTATGCATAATTATAGTAATGAAAAGAAAGCATTATACAACTTCTGTTTGAATCGATACATTGATAGAAGATTAATTCTTGAATGGAAGATCATATAATGAATCAAGTAAACAGTATGAGATATTATTCTTGGAGTTCTAAAGAGAATCTGTGGCAAGTGGAGTTCAACTACGTTGAGTATGAGACAGTTACACACAGGTAAAATTAAATGATTGTTACTCAATGTCATGAATTAATTGAAGCGAAACATGTAAATCGTTGGATCTCAGTTCATCTGTCCATGGGTTAAGCGCTCGCCACGATCCATGTAGGTCCTGAATTTGACCTCCCGTAGGATCGTGAATGTACACTATTGGGGAGTCACATAACAGGACAACGTAGATATCCTAGTTTTCGGAGGTTGCCTAACCCACATCAGTCCATGAAGTGAACCATAAAATGAGTTTAATTGGAATCACGAACCAATCTAATTTAGGCAACCATTGAAAACCTGGATAGCCGCTTCGTTCTAGTATAGGACTCCTAACCAGTGCACATCTGTGATCCAGCAATAGGGAATCAAACCCGGGGCCTTTAGTCTAGCGCGCTAAATCTTAGTCTCTACACCATTGAACAAAGTTGCCAGTCTAACCTAGATAGGTTCATGCTGTCAGTGAAAGTCAGCAATCTCCACAACCCCTTACTGGCATATAAAATGAGTGTTAGACAATTGATGGTGAAATAAACGAACAACTATAAGACAATGATTCGAATTTGACATACCTACAGCATGACCAAGCAAACTTCGTACACCTAGAGTGACACCTTCAGCAAATTCTTCCGGACCAAGAATTGCACCCTATAATAAAATAACAAAAATTGCGGTGCATTTAGGCAGGAAATAACAAATAACAAGCAAATAACAAGTCAATCATATATATATATATATATATATATATATATATATATATATATAATTTTGAAAAGATCGAGAACAAAGATTCTAGCAGAATAGCATGAATTTATTTTATTTCGTTGGTTCACGTCAACTGCTTACAACCTGCTTGTCAACGTTTGATTGGGTTATTGAACATGTCGTTTTTATAAAGAATTAATAGTTTATCTGACGGATAAGTTCTGGTTAAGCCTCCTGGTGATTATGTTTGTAAATACCTCTTTCATGTTATCGCCAACTGTATTTATAAATTTACGTGTACCTGCCAAAGTAGCTACATTGGCCGACCAGAAAGGAGGACATATCTTAATTTTTTGAGCATATTCCAAAAAGCCTTAGAACAAGAGAAAGAACGATTCTAAACAGTGCAATTACCAAATATGACTTGGACATCAAGTTGATACCTTGCAATCTTTTAAGGTGATTAATAAACAGTCAAGCTCCAGTCCTGTGAAGCCGTTGCTATCAGGCGTCTAAAACCTGATTTATGTATTCAAAAGGAGATGGATATTAATCTTTCTTTGCCCTGGTGACAAATATTCCTTTGTTGGATCTTAAAACACTTTTTTAAATTCTTTCTAGCATTTATTACATCATTGAGTTTTTTATTTAGACTGTCTTCTAGATTATTAATCTTATTTTATCAACTGAACTCTACTCATTTTATTCCTATCAATGTTTACTCATTATATAATCACCTGTTGCTGGCAGTTTGAATTGTTGTCGCAATCAATGTTGTAGCATTTTCTTTTACATAAGGTATATATTTACAGTATTCAGTCTATGAAATTTATTTACAACCTTGCTATACTATACTAATATGTCTTCAATATAACTTCCAACTAAACTGTTTAATTTAAACCCATTTTGCAATTATGATATTAAATATCACAGGTTGTAAGCAGCTGACGACAACCAACGAAATAAAATGAATTCATGCTATTCTGCTAGAATGTTTGTTCTTGCTTCTCACTAGTCAATTTATTGATTTGTTAATCAGAAATGGTTTCAACAAAGTTAACATACTTTTACTGGTTCATAAAAGAGATCTTCAACACCTTGAGCTAAGCCTCGTAATACACCGAATGGATTACCTAATACATCCAATCCTAAAACTAGTACATACATTTGTCTAACACCTTGGCCAACATAATGATGTGTAATTTCTGTACTCATTTGATTAATTGTCATGATACATGCTTGACGTTCGAAATAATCCAATCTAGAAGGAAGGAGAATGAAATTGATGTGAAACACATTTTTTAACGAAATAAACAGAGAAGAAATAAAATTTCAAAGTGATCTAATCTATTCTATAGTTATTCTCATTATTATGATAAATTATTTAAGAAAAATTTTCATTTTATTTTAACATTAATGAACATTGGAAGTTTATATTAGGCATAATATTGACTACACAAATTTTAATAAAGTTAATAGTATCCATGAAGTCACTGACAAGTGGACTGAGTCATGTTGGTAGGTGTAGACTACCTGGTTGGGATCCGCGAAACGATAGCAAACGATGGTTAAAGACCTTGAATGATATGACTCAAAATCGTTTGCAATTAAGCAGGTGCATCCACTCTTTGAGTTCTCACAAATTCTAATCTTCTGAATTCTTCATGTCCCTTTCTTTTTTCTCTTTCCAAATTTATTTCACTGGATTATAATCCTTGATTAACACCTTCAAACCCTAATGTTTCCTATTACTGTTTATACTTTTACTACCTTTAGCACTATGGGATCTGAATCAACAATTGTATCTCTGTGCTAATGTGATATGGCAACTTCAACTGATGTACGTACGTACGAAGTTCTACGTTGTTGTTGACTTAATGACTGGAAGGTATCATTTTAAAGTGTATGTGATAATTATTGTAAACTTTATATGCTTGTAACAAGACTGAAATTCATTCGTTGTCTTTCTTTTAAATCCTAAGTTTCTAAATTATCAAATAGATTATTTTTTGTTATTGATTTTATGAATAGTATTCTCGATACCTGATCGTTTCTATTATCACTAATACTGTTGCTACTCATACTACTCTGAGATTTTTCCTGAAAGATTCATCTTATGATGTAGTAACTTGAACTGATGTACATATATGTACCAGGTTCGATATTTACAATGACTGACAGACTAGACTCAGAACATAAAAGTTATATAATAGGCACAAATAATCCATTTATATATAGCTATGATTAATTCTTAAGAGAATACCATAAAACTGTCCTATTTATATAATTGAGCAGAATTTCACAATAAGACAATGGTGTATAACAATTTCATATTAGTCGAAATATAAATAAAATTCCATATATATAATTGTGAATACGTTTGTGTACTTTAATGTTAACTTATATCATATATATCTGATGGTAAAAAGGAGTAAAAGATTATATTGTTTACGATTAAATATGGATATACAACATAATCTTCGAATATTGTCTGATTGAATCATGAAGTAATATCAACCCATGACAAGCTTGTATTTTAAGAAATAATTCATTAACAGTTACAAACCACGAATAAATCGACAGCTTATAGTGATCTCAACCTAGTGATGTTAATGGTTAAGCGTTCACCGCGAGACCTGACTGTGCTGAGTCTGGTTCGTAAGTGCACACTTCTGTTCAATGTTCTCTGGTATTGAATACTATCTTGAATAAGTTTAATCTGTGGCAAATACAATCTATAAATTAAACTAATCCTTACAAAATCCCTTCAATTAAGTTATGTAATATAAGTTTGAAAACGTTAAGAGAAAATTTTTTTAAAGAGATATTGTTATAACTGAGCTTGCTTACTTGAAAACTACATCTTGTACTTCAGTTAATGCTACACCAAGAGATTGCAAGAAAAGATTAAGTACTTCACTCGGGAAAGCCGACGATTTTCCTTCTGTACTACCAGTAAGAGAAAAACTGACGTGTACCTTTTGAAATAGAAAGTTGTTAAAAAAAGAAAATGACTATAGACTAAAGAATAGATCGGTTTTCGCCACCAAGTCTTCCTTCGCTAAAATATAACATTGAAGTAAAACTCGTTAAAAACTACTGAAGTTACGTAATAAGACAGTGAATAGTACATACGAGCAGGTGAAAACAGTGAACAAAGGGTATGGGGAATAATAATACGTAGAATCGTTTGCTAGGCCTAATTCAGCCAATGAAAAGATAAGTGTAACAAATTTTCCATATATATAAATAGTTTAGTTGTTAACTCGAATCCTTGCAGCTTCTGTTATGAGCGAGAGATGAGATCGAAGATAAATTACTTTATTACTCTATTTACTACATGACTCACTAATGATCAAGTGTGATAGAGCGGAGCTGCGTTTCATTGTTATCACTGACTCATAAACTGCTTTAATTGGTTTAATATTTTCATATAACCATACAAATATTAGTGTGTTGGAATAAAGCCGGATGAGAATCTAATTGGAAACAATGTTGTTCGCTTATATACGTTTGCTCTGATTTACAAAATGGGAATTTTTAATATCTCGAAAAAACACCTTAGTAACTCTTTTTTTCAATTCATATTACCTCACTACTGACTTATCGCTATTATTATGTGATCAAATACATTTGCTTCATTGACATGTGTCTATTCTCAGTTTCAATGCTTGCATGCCTTTTTGAATCTTATCCTTATTTAATTCACCATTACAATCTAAAATAAAAAGTGCCACAGTAAATTCATTCACAAGGTTTGAATGTTTAATTACACTCATAAATGTAAGAAAAACCTATCAAAACTGACTTTGCTCGGTGAAATATGAAAACTATCAAAAATGGATCGTTTCCCATCTTGCAGGTGAGCTTGTACAACTGGTGAATCAATCAATTTACTAGGAATCAAAAGATAATCATGTTTGAACGCTTCCTCCTAAAGTGTTATAAGATTAAACAAAGGGAAAGGTGAGAAAAAATCAACGGAAAGAATTAACATTATGTTTCAATTCTGGATAATATGGCCAGACAACGAACAGAGACAATCATGATGATGATGATGACGAAATAAAAAGAATGAAATAGTTAATTCATTTTAGCAAAAAACATAATATTCTGATTCATTCACAATTAAGTAATCAAGACAATTATGGATAGGGAATGATCAGTTGCTAATATGATAGACAGACAGAAAAAGAATAACAGAAGACACAGACAAAAAATCTTCCATTTAACAATGGACGTATGGGTGCGTGATAAATAACTACGGCTAGAACAAGACGTGAAGTTATTGACTAATTACTCGATTATTGTGACCGATAGTTAGAGACGTTGGATGAAATGGCTCAGAATCGATTTCTATTGTACAGATGTATTGATTCTTCGTCTACACTAGGATTCTCTATTTCAAAACTATTTCATACATTTTATTCTGTGTGTTCATTCTTTATTCTCAAATCACATTGTTTATAACCAATGTTTTTCTACCACCACTACTGATATTACTGGTACTTCCTACTTCGACTGTTCTGAGACTTATCTTGATAATTTCATTTCGATGTGTTGATTTAGTGTGGTAATTTGAGTTGATGTACAGCTCTGCCAAGGTCTTATGTAGCATATGACTAACTGAAACGATACATTTTTGTACGCAATGAATTAAACCTAAATACAACTAGGTAAACTGATTTAAATAAATGGAACAATATTATTCTTTGTGTCGATCGATGATTGATTAAATCAAACTAGATAGTTTATCATTGTCTATTATATATTGATGCTAGGACATTACTTATATTTATCTTCGGATAGACAGGAGAATTGACACATTATGTAATGAATGATATTTGTATAGTTGATAAACAGACGAAAATCAGTCACCATTACAGATATACACAATTAAAGGCAATTATTTATTGAAATGTCAACATCACATATTCATTTGAGTAACGTCATCAAACAAACCGAAAAGAAATATACAAAGTGATAAGTTAACAA